ACTCTCGATACCAGCAGAATTATTAAATAAATAAATAACGCACACACTCAACATAGCCCCGCACTAGGGAAACCCTGTGTCGCGGGTGCCATGGACACACACATAGACAACCACAAAATGAAATTTGATATTCACAGTGACTCACCTAGCAGGATACGTTCCGTTTTACACCCAATTAATTAAACATGTATTTTTTGTTTTCCCTTTTTTTTTCTTACAGTTAATTTATTTACTCAACAAGTAGGTATATTAGTAGGTAGGTATATATTATTCTTGCATGCATTTGGTTTTTTTGTAGTAAACCAAATGCATTATTATATTTTTATTTTAGTTTTAGTTGCTGCCGTTGTTATTAATTGTCATTGATTTTCCCTTTTAGTTGATGTTAAATTATGTTGTCAATTTTATAGTCTTTTTACTAATTGCAAGTGGTATTTACCTGGGACTGCTTAATACATTTAGTTCTAAGGTGTTCTAAGCTGTAATAATATAATCAAATGTTGGTAAGTGTTAAATAAATAAATCGAATATTACGCCTTGTTTTTATCTATTATATTTAGAGTATAATAAAATAAAAATTCGAAAAATTCTAATAATAAAAATTCTTTCACAGTGCTGCCATGTTTGTTAAGATTTAAATAAATAATTGAATGCAAAGAAACTCATCGTGAATTGTAAAAATTTTCCCATTTTGCAACATACGTTTTGTTTTTTACGGTGTCACAAGCGACATCATGATATCTACTGTCTCAGATTGTATATTTGGTTATAAATAATAAAAAAATAAGGTTAAATTCTTTTACGAGTAATAGAGCTCCTTGTGAAAGAGTTCGTCCAGGGATGTACTGCCACCTTACCTATTTCTGCCGCCAAGCAGTAATGTGAGTAAGGGTAAAGGTTTTGGACATTACAGGCACATATGCCTGTCCCATAGTACTTGCCAACTTATGTCTCAGGGTGACGGGCGCAGTGGCAGTGTCCCTTAGATCTACAAACCCTTTAAAAGACTTTGAGTGGCATTGCAACTCAGGTCAAGCGTGTCACTTACCACCAGACGCACGACTTGTCCGTCCCTTCGGTTTCACGTCCCTGTGTATCATAAAAAAATACATGTTGGCCTTTTTGAAATTTCAAGAAAACTGTAATTATCAATGTTTAGATTTTCATTATACTTTTCAAACTCTTCTCAAAGAAAGTTTAGTATGAACGGTCATTGCCTCCAATTATAACGGCGTGAGACCTGAATTTCCAAGAAAACTTAATTATGCCTTCGACATTGACTTTTCTAAAACTTTTTCTTTTGTTCACCATTTATTTGTAATACGGCTACTTTATTCTCCAAGGTTCTTCATCTTACGAGAGCTTCATTATTTTTTCCTGTTTCTTTTCTTTGAAGTTGACCGCAATTATTTATTTTTTAAAAGTAGTAATCTATCTACCTTTATTCTATTACAGCTACAAGGTTTCGATAGTTCACGACGTTTACTAGTTTATAAAATTTTACTTGCTTAAAGTAAAACCGAGGATAACGTCATGTTCAACATCAAACTTCTGGAAATGAGTTCCGAGTTTCGGAATTAGAAGCCATAGTTTATCTTAGGCTCAACTCACACTCGCACAGAGTCGACGCGCGTTACTTGGGCACAGTGAGGCATCAGACGCCGACCACACTGTGATCCGGGCGCACTAATACGAAACACGTCGACGCACGTCGCCAGGCGTTGCAGTTGAAAAACAGGACGCGACGCAACGCTTCGACTCTGCGCCAGTGTGAGTTGAACCTAATACGTTATAAATGTGATTTGTAAAATAATTTCTATTGAAAAACGGATAAAATACTTTGATTTATTAACACTCAAAATATTTTTGATGTTATGAAATCACAAAACACTGTACTGTTGTTACGAAATATTACATCAATGTTGTCGTAGTATACATACACTACTTCGTAGCAACCAGTTAGAATACAAATCCGAATTTTGAAATTAGAAGCCACAGTGTGTATACGTTATAATTATATTTCGCAAAATAATTTCTTTTGAAAAGGGAATGAAATTCTTTATCGTAATAGCACCACTGTACTGTTGTTACAAAATATTGCAACAGTGTTGTCGTAGTATACATACAATACATCGTAGCAGCCAGTTAGAATACAAATCGTGACTTCTGATGCTACGAGGTGCAATTATACATTATAGTTTATTTTATCGCATTTGTTACGTCGTCTCTCACTCAATCCAAATCACACCCAAATGCATCTACCAGACACAGCATTAATAACCTCTTCGGAGCAGATTTTTTACGAGCTCATTTAAGGATTTTTTTATTTATTTATATATTTTATTTATTTATTCATTCATTCATGTAATTTTATTTATTTTTGGTAACAAAATGGCCGATTGCGTTAACAATAAATGACACATAGTTCAAAATTTTATACCAAATTTAAATTAATTTTATAAGAAGCTTTTGCATTGGAAAACATCCAATTGATTAAAACGTGCTACTTGTTTGTGAGACGAATTCCATTGAGAAGTAAGAGGCATTTATTCATATTTTCTCATTTACAATATTTATTTAAACAGACACAACCTGGAAGAGCCGAACTGGTCACTCTTGTGAATTATTACTATCCAAGTACGCAAATGTTGTACGCTAAACCGTTTGCGTTAAATTTTAGTTTCATGATAGTTTTAAACCTCGTAAATGTGAACAGCATTCTGATTTTAATTCAAATCGGAATGGAACAGATCGGGTAGTCTCGAAATCAGATGGGTTTCCGAGCGAGAAGATGAACCTGATTTTTCCTACTATATCTTTCTAATTTGTGAGTTAAATCAAGTATTGTTCCGCTTTGAAATTTCAAAAGTTTCCCATCGGCCAGTTGTGAATAGCAAATATGCGCCTCGACTCGGAAGAGACGCAGTTTCCAATCGGGAGAGACAATCAAAATCAAGCTGCAGATACATAAACGTCGCCCCCTTAAATGATTTTAGGAATTTACGAAGGCGACAATCAAGAACGGCCAGTTTATTTTTATTCCTCGTATGGTGATCGATAAATTATTTTATTTTCATAATCTACAGGTAATGTACAATAAAAGCTTAAATACTAGAAAGTAAATATCGAGTTCTTAGGTTTTCGCGATTATTACACATAGGAAATGAAACTATTTTTCCGAATTTAAATCGCGTATATTTGTTTTTTCAAACAAACCGACGTTTCGGGCCCTTTTCAGTCAACCATGACCATGGGACCTGTAAAGGGCCCGAAACGTCGGTTTGTTTGAAAAAACAAATATACGCGATTTAAATCCGGAAAATAGTTTCATTTCCTACTAGAAAGTACCAAGATGCTGGCAGCGTTCCCCATTTAATAATAAGATAATGTATGATAATGCGTTGGGCAAAGTAGCTGTCGGTCCATGGGTATTCCAGACAGTCTATTAATTTTTTGTATAAAATTTTGTACAGACGAAGGGCACCGGGACTCCAAAAGCCGTAAATAACTAATCAGTAGTTCCTCGTATTAATATTATCACTATTTTTCATGAACAAATCACTATATAGTTCTTAACGCCATTGTTTTCTTCTCCATTACTGGAGGTTGGCCGTCAATATGGCAAACTTGTCCCCGTCCAAGGCCGAATTAAACAATTCGCCCTCTGTCTGTCGCAAGTAAGACCTGCTGTTACTACCTGTACTTAGAATGTTGTGTTTTGCGAATGTAGTGTTTAGCGAATATGGTGTTTTAATAATGTAATATCTTGAGAATGTGGTATCTTGCAAATATGACATTTTGTGACCATGATGTCTTGCGAATATCATGTTTGGCGAACATGATATTTTGCGAATATGATATTCAGTGACAAAGGCGTTTGCGCACGCGACTCCGGTTCACTCCCTTGCGTAGCCATGAATCGTTCTCATACTCATAAGTTGAAGCAGTTGGTACCTATCGTGTCGAAAGTCGTGGCCGAGATATGCGAGTTTGCGCTTCTTGGTAGTCCACATCGGCTGGCGTGAGAAGTTATTCAAATTCAAATTCAAATTCAAAATAATCTTTATTTCATAGGTAAGCATTATTACACTTGAAATCGTCACAATATTAAACTCTACCGCTCATTCGTAAGGCAGATTCCCCTGAGAAGAATGAGCAAGAAACTCTAGGGGTTGCTCTTTGTAAATAACATTTACAATATTTTTTTTTTATTATTTGAAACATCAGAGATCGAGACTACCTCCATGAGCTAAACGGGTTACTACCACGGATTTTTGTCATCCAAGTACGCAGAAGTTGTATAATAACCTTTAGTATAAAGTTTTTGTTTCACTATAGTTTTAAACCTCGTGTAAGGCAAATTTTGTATATCAACCGGAATCTTGTTATAGAAGCGTATACATTGCCCCTTAAATGATTTTTTGACTTTGTGAAGACGACTATCAAGAAAAGCTAGTTTATTTCTATTCCTCGTATTAATGTTATGTCTGTCACTATTTTTCATAAATAAATTACTATTCATTTTAACATAAATTACATTCTCATAAATGTACTGTGAGGCTAGTGTAAGAATGTTAATTTCCTTAAACTTATCTCTCAAAGATACTTTGGGGCCCAGATTGTAAATTGCCCTAACTGCACGTTTCTGCAGGACAAAGATTCTATTGATATCGGCGGCATTACCCCAAAGCAAAATGCCGTATGTCATTAGACTGTGAAAGTAGCTGAAGTAAACCAATCTAGCGGTTTCGACGTCTGAAAGTTTCCTTATTTTTTTAATCGCGTACACTGCAGAGCCGAGCCGTTTTGATAACTTACTTATATGGGGACCCCATTGCAATTTAGCATCTAACGTTATACCTAGAAATACAACTGTATCCATGTAATGCGCCGCTGTACTGTCTCGTCCCTTTCTCCATCCAGCTGACTGATTTCTTCTTGAATACCTCGCGTGCCTAACGCCAGTGTAAGAAAATTAATTTCTTTAAACGTTGTTACAGCTTCACCCCATAAATCTGGAGAGAAGCAGCAAAGCCTCGGCGTGCGCCTGCGCCGCTGGTGCCGCAGCCGCCGCTGCCAGCTATGGCGACTGCTGCTTCTCCCCTTCATACCCATCTTGGCACTGATAGTGCAGACCACGCTCTCGCTGAGGAGCAGCATCACCAATGGACGTGATGTTGCTGATGTCGAAGAACAAGTAAGTATTTGCACAATCTTTTTTTTAGTGGTACCCATATTGCAGTATTTATTATATTGAATATAATGATGTTTTTACTACCATGACATTCATGAGATATTTTTTGGGAAAATACGCCATTGGTTTGTGATTATTATCAATACAAAGATCGAACAAATACAAAGAAAATTTCCTCGTTCCGATTGAACTCAAACAAACGTCTGTTGCCTCAACCTGTCTACCGCCCATACCAACATATTTTGTAACGTGTGCATTCTTATGATACGTACGTTGAGGTAACAGATGCTGGTTCCAGTCTAATCATTCGAGGGAATTCTTCTTTGTGTTTGTACGATATTTGCATCAATAATAAATAGTACTGATATTGTCTAACAGTCAGATGGTCCACCTAATTGAAAGTGGTAAAAGCAGTCTATAAATATTTGCTGGAGTAAGGAAATCTACTTGATATCAAATACGTTGCTGGCTTTGGAAACTTTGTTCTTACTACGCAAACGAAGAGAAATTATTTATTAAATGATATAGCTTTTATAATATATTTTACATCATGTAGTTATTACTTAGATAAATTTAGGTTCACAAATGCAATTCTTTTATTATTACCTACAACGTGTTTATCAATAAAAAGCACATAATAAATTCAAGATAATTTAAAAAAAAGCAACATTATTATAACTTTAAAACATTGAAGTTTTAGATTTACGGCATGAAAATAACTCAATTACCGCAGCGGTAGAACGCGATAAATTTAAGTTTCTTCATCTTAAGAGTTTTGCTCTAACGGACCTTGGCGACTATCTTTCTAAACTTCTGACACAATTTATTGTGCCTACCCCATTAAAACGTCTGTTTTTATATTATAGCTGACCAACAATATTTATATCAGGTGCCTACTCTGTCATAATTTTATCTTAGAGAGACAAGCCTATTCGAGCTCGAAAAATGGTTTTAGTTTTAATTTATTTCTCTTAACCATTGACTTACAAATAAATGAACGACGGGTCTAATACAAAAACCACGAAAAAAATATCCCAAGTCAACCTATTTAAACGTAGTGACATGTAAAGGAATATGAAAAAGCTAAAACGTTGAATTTAAATTGTAATGTCATCGCAGTACTGTCTAATTTTGATTGCTTCGCTGTCAGTCGAACAAACGAAGACTAAAGCGTGAATGACGCTCTGTATACGATTTTAACGCCCTATAAGTTCGGACACTTTTTAGCGCGGACCCGACGTCCATATAATTGTAAGTCAATGCTCTCAACATTACAAATTTCATATAAATACATTTAATTACATGTCATTTTATACTTCTCTTCGAAAAGTGATCGTCAGTTTAAAAAATAATGAGAAATAATTGTACACTAGTAAGTCATAATACAGAATAGTGTATATATACACATCAAGGTAATTAATGAAACCAATAAATAATTGAATTATACTAACAATGTCAGATTTACTGTGTACAGGAAATGTCAATATGGATTCATAATAACTTCTATTCTATTTTTAAAAAGAAGGATGGCTTCTCTTTTAGAATTTTGCCAATGTCTAGTCAGTCATGGGAGCTACACTTTTATTTATTTTCCAATGTTTAAACATTTAACACTGCTCTTTAGTCTATTCCAATTCTGAAACAATAAAAAACGACACAATATAGGTACCATCACCATTAATGATATAAATAAAATAAAAATAAATAGTGTTATAATTTAAGTTTGTTAATACTAATAAAATCAGTAATTAATTTCAGTAGGGGATTTGAAAAGACATATAGCAGAAACTGGAAATTTACGGGACGCGGAATGGACGGTGGAAGACTATCGTAGATGGAACAAGTTCTGGAAGGGCAGCTGAAAAATATATGGTCTGGGGTACCTTCATCTAGGCCACATTCACAAATTGAGTTATCCCGTATTCTAAGTTTTGCCAGATGGACCGGGGTGCAGGCATGACCAAGGCGAAGTCGGCATATCGTAGAAGTTACAGATTTACTGAATCCTTTAAGGTTAGAAAACCAAGGTTTTTTGGGGATACTTATTTGGATGTCAGCATAGTACTTGCCCTTGATAAGCTTGATTTTATTCCACTCATTGCTCCATGAGGAAAACATATCATTGGTAGCTAAAGGCAGGAGGTCATAGGTAAATGACCTATAATGATTAAGGTAACCTGTTTGGATAGCGTTTTTCGCCAATATGTCTACGGTTTCATTGCCTTGGATCCCGCTATGACCTGGAATCCACGCCAATACAACCTGAATGTTATTACTATGGCATTGATACAAGACCTCCTTGATCTTCAGGATATTATGGAATTTACTTTTAGCAACAAATTGGTTTGCCAGAATAGCCTGTAAACAGCTTTTTGAGTCTGAAAAAATTATACTTTTGTTCAGTTTGTGAGATTCAACATAACTGAGAGCTTCAAGTAGGGCAGTAGATTCTCCTGTGAATATTGATGCCTGAGATGGGCATTTACAGTTCAGAATAATTTCATATTTTGGGATCCATACAGCCGCACCGACACAACCATCAGCAGCCAGCTTGGAAGCATCCGTATACATAGTCAACCAGCCCTGCCAGTCCTTGGCCAAGGCCTTATTAAACTGTCTGTCTGCAGCAGGGGAATCTTTGTAAATACCAAAGTCCAAGATTATCTCAGGTTTAAATATTATTACATCATAAAGACAAGAAAAAAGGGGATTTTTAGCGCATTGGAAAACGGGAGAATTGATTTTGATAAATTTGTGGTAACTTTTAAGAATGCAGGGTATATCTTTCATTTGCCAATATTTAGAAGATCTAGTTAGATCAGACAGTTCGTGAAGCTTGGCCAGAAGAGGGTGAGGAGATAGTTGCGCCACCTTGTACAAAAATCTATCAGCGAGAAACTGCCTTCTTAAAAAGAGAGGGGGTTCCACACACTCAACCTGGAGAGCATTTATTGGTGTAGACTTCATGGCTCCAATGATGAGACGGAGACACTTTGATTGGATTTTATCCCACAAATTGAGGGCAGTTTTATGACACGGTTCCAATAAAAACGAGCCGTAGTCAAAGTGACTACGGATTATGGCATTGTACAGTATTTTTTGACAGAATGGGTGGGAACCCCACCAAGTGCCTGACAGGGAGCGGAGAATATTAATGTTAGTCTCACACTTTTTGGCAATAAAGTTTAAATGAGGGACGCCCGTCAATTTGGAATCTAGTATGAGCCCCAGAAATTTGAAATTGTCAAAGATTGTTATACGCTGGTCTAGGATATTGAGTGGAACTTGTGGGGTAATTTTTTTCCGGGAAAAAACCACTACACCACTTTTAGGGGCAGACAAAGAAAGACCATGGTCAGTTAGCCAATCGCCTAAGTACTGTAAAGCAGTATTCAGACGGAAACCGATGTCATCCAGTGACGAGCCGTGGGCATACATAGTCAGATCATCAGCATATTGGAGGATACTACAAAAACTGTTCACTGATCTCTCCAGATCATACGTATAAATATTGTACAGCAAAGGACTGAGAACAGATCCTTGCGGAAGGCCCTTCCAGACGGTTCTTGATGCGACAAAGTTTCCTTGGAAACGAAACAAGCATGTCCTACACGAGAAGAGATTAAAAATGAAATTGGTCAATCTTACCGGGATGCTCAGCTGATGCATTTTTTGCCTGAGCAGGGGAAGAATCACACAATCATAAGCAGCGGAAATATCCAAGAAAACACCAATCAGAGACTCATTCTTTGAGAAGGCCAGGCGAATATCAGAGACCAGGAGGCTTATGCTATCCATAGTGCCGCTACCCTTCCTAAAACCAAACTGGCTTTTAGCTAAAATATCTCTATTTTCCAAGAGCCACTCCAACCGATTTTTAATAAGATGCTCCATGATTTTCGCTAGGGTAGAGGATAAAGCAATGGGACGATAGTTGGAAGAGTCTGTCTTCCATTCCTCCGGAGGACACCCTGAGAGGAATATGGAGTTAATAATTTCTAAAAATGTCATCTTAGCAGAAGTCCTCGCATTTTTCAAGAAGGAATATGGTATTCCATCTACTCCTGGGGAGGAGTCCTTAAGGTGGTCCAAAACTAGGACCAGTTCTGAGAACGAGAATGGGTCATTCATACGATCTGGAGAAGCCAAAGTGGCAGCAAATGCAGAAGCCTCCTCTTGACTGGGGACCCATGGAGGGCATAGCTTGTTCACAAAACCATCAAGCCAACATGAAGGATCAAAGCTGGAGGGATCGTTATTGCGTTGAGAACAGCGAAATCTTTTGATGTTTTTCCAAATGATAGAGGGAGGAGAACGGGGTGAAATGGTTTCGCAAAACCGCAACCAACCAGATTTTTTCTTCTCTGAAAGAAGCCGTTTGGCTTGGGCCGCTGCATTCTGGTAGTGTAAAAAGTTATTTGTGGTTATAGAGCTGTTATACTGGGTTTCAGCTTCTTTTCGTTTAGTAACAATAGTAGTGCACTCGTGATCCCACCATGGAGGGGAGGAGATTAGGCTCCGAGGTGAGTTTTTAAGGGGGATAGAGGCCATTGCGGAAGAATTGATTGATGCTACAAATCTGGAATAGGTTTCTTGAAGAGATAAATCCCCAACACTGGGCAGGGACTGTAGCTCTAAATCCAGACATTGACCATACTTGTCCCAGTCAGCCTTAGAGGTATTAAATTTTAGTAGAGAAGAGTGTTGCTTCGATGGAGTGCAGCTGCTTGTTACAGAAACGAGTATGGGGAAATGATCACTTCCGAAAGTATATGGAAGAGTCCTCCAAGAAGAACTGGGCACTAGGCTTGGGGAGCACAAAGTAATGTCCACAGCTCGTCTTGTATCCTGGAGAGGGAAAGATCTACGTGTCGGAGATCCATCGTTGAGGAAACATACATTAAACTCATCAAAGATGTCTAATAAAAGATAGGAGAATGTGTCATTTTTATAGGAACCCCAAGCAGTGTGGTGACTATTAAAGTCCCCAAAGATCATGAGAG